AATAATAATAATAATAATAATAATAATAATAATAATAATAATAATAATAATAATAATAATAATAATAATAATAATAATAATAATAATAATAATAATAATAATAATAACCAGCTTTATTTTCCTTTTTTGAGGAAAGTAAAAAAGCAATGTGCGGGAAAAGGAAATTAGGATCCATCTGGTGCCAAAGGTTGAAAGCAGTGATTAGTGTTCCAGGCAGACACGTTTCTGTTGACCCGGCATCTCCCACTGGTGGTGAAGATAACACTGGGCCCCCAGCGGAGTGAGGGGATGAAAAAACAGCATTAATGATCCTTAAATTTCGGCTTTGTTGATATTTTTATGAGTTTATTATGTTAGGGACCAGGGCCCTTGTAGACACAAGAAGAATAGGATGGGCAAGCACTGAAAGCCTTGCAGACTAAGTCAGGACAGCAGGTAGCTGGAGGTAGGAGACTTCCTTCTCCGGGGTCCCCAGGGCAAGTGGAGTGAATCCAGCAGGGGCCCACAGAGATGGCAACCTGCACTGGCCCTGAAGGTGGCCCTGCACTGAGTAGGGGCCAGACAGTCTCCAAAGGCCTCTCAGAGTGGTGCTGTGAGGGATAGCATGAGGACACTGTAGGCAGGAGCACTGAGAGCTCTTGGTTGTGCTGAGGATCCCATCATGGCATGTGTGGACATTTTGGTTGGGGAGGATTTGGACCCACATCCCCAAGGAAAAAGGCGAGTGTGGAGAACAAGTGCTCGCGGTGTGCTGCTGGCTGCATCCTCCCTGACCCCCCATCTGCCTCTTTTCAGAAACACGAGTTCTTTGTGGACATGACCTGCGAAGGTTGCTCCAATGCGGTCACCCGCGTCCTGCACAGGCTGGGAGGTGAGTCAGTGCTGGGTGTGTGACAGCCAGCTCACCGGAGCAACGCCAGCGCCGGGGCGGGACGTCACTGCCCTGGGGTCCTCCGTCTGGCGAGGGTACCGCTGTGGGTAAAAGCTGAAAGTGTCTGGTTGGAAACCTCTGCTCCCCACTCTGCTCTGAGCCTGCTGCTTAGTCAGTAACGAGTCGCTGGTTGTTTGCAGGACTCTTGTGACCCTTGGAGAAATGTCAAGGGAGGGAGGAGCTGCCGTGGCTGCAGGTGGCTCTGAATCACCAGGGCCTCATCCCGAACCCTCTGGGAACCGCACTGGTAGACCCCTGCTGAGGCTGCCAGAAGGAAGGGAGGTGGATGTCCTGCCAAGTGTTGTTCCCCAGGAGGCCTGGGGTGTCTGTGGTGCTTCTGTAGATGTGTCATCAGTGTCCACAGGCAGAGCCGACACAGTGAAGAGCTGCTGAGCAGAGCATTTAGTGGTTGTCTGCACAGCCTGTTTTTAATATCACCTGAAAAATTATAACCCATGCCTCCTTTGTGCTGGGATTACCAAGAGAGAAGGACCCACACTCACCAGTTGTAAGGACCCGTCATCCTGCTCCCCTGTCCTCACCGAGTGAGAACAGCTTTCAGTCACCAAGGCAAAGAACTTGCAACTTCTTCCAGACCCTGTTACCAGGCTGTGGTGATCCCACTTCCTCTGCGTGTGGTTGTCAGGACCTCCATCGCTCTTCAACATGCTGGCCAATATCAGCCTCATGTGATGACATGGCAGAGCTCTCAAAGCTCTGTACATACCTCCAAGTTTTGTGAAAATATGTGGCTGGATAGAGACTTCATATCCAGTTCCTTTCACTGGGCTGAGAGTGGCCACTGGGAAATCCACATGGGAAAGTGTCTTTTCCCTCACTCCTACTTCAGGCTGTTAGCTGCCACCGCCACTGAGGAAACTTGTCCTGACCCTGTCCCAACCCCTGTGCTGACTCCCTCGTTAGTGCCTATCCATGCTAAACCACAGCACAGGCTGAGCTGGTTGGAGGTTACAGTGGTTGGTTTAAACTCAGCTCATTCTGGTTATTGCGCGAGTGATTGTGCTGATCCAAGGTGGGGTCAGCAAATCAAAGCAGTTGAGAAACTGTGGTGCCTGATGCAGATCTATAGATCTGGCTTCCTTCGTACCATTGCTGGCAGGGCACCAGTTTGTTTTTGCTGGCTGGTGGTGATATCAGGCTTTGCTGGCAGGAGGAAAAACGTATGTTTGACTGATGGCCTTGGGGAGCACAAAGGTGTGGAGGAGAGCTTTACCCCTTTTCCCCCTTTTTGCTCACACCGTTTGGCTGCTTCTAGCTGTGCAGTATTTTTTTCCTTTACTTGTAGGTGTCCAGTTTGATATTGACCTGCCCAACAAGAAGGTGTGCATCGACTCGGAGCACAACGTTGACACCCTCTTGGAAACCCTAAAGAAGACTGGAAAGAACGCTTCCTACCTTGGGGAGAAGTCTGCGCAGTAGCCTTGCCTGGTGCGAGGAGGCTAGGTATATACCAGGTGTATGAAATGCTGAAGAGAGAGATCTGAGCTTGTTCCGGCTCTCCCAATAAAACAGGCTGCTTCCTGGGAAGCACAAAGTAGGAAAGACCTGCAGGTTCAGCTTCAGCAACTCCCCTTGTATTGGAGAAGCAGCAGGACCACGTACAGCCAGCACCATTTCTGTGTGGGACCCCTTAGCAACTCTGCAAAGCCCATGCGATCCCAACCATGGTTGTAGTGGAGAGGTAGAACACAGCCTGTGTGCCATTCCCAGGTGAACCTCGAGTTTGCCAGAGCATATCGTGCATGAAAAAAAAAATAATCCCAAAGACATTCACCAGCTGTCCAGAGAGAGTGGTGGCCCCCAACAATACCAGGGAGGGCAATGGGACACAAAGACCCCTGTAGGTACTTGATGCAGGGGGTTGGTGGTTCGCACAAGAACCTCCAACATCTGATTCTGTTGATACCACTGTTAATACTCCACTAATCTTGAGGATGGAAAAAGAGCAGCACTCTGCTACCCTCATGGACTTAAAATGTTGGGTTTCAGAATAGTTCCCAGTGCACACAGCCCCTGGCCAACTGGACATCTGTCCCAAAGACAACCTGATTGTTGCAGCCTGTCAATTTTCCTAGAGTCCCAGCACTATGAGAACATGTAGGAAACTCTCCTGACTGCGAAATGTTTTTGCAGACAGGGTTCATTTTCTGTGGACAAGAATGAAGTGGGAGGAGAGGGCTGCCCTCTCACTGCATGTGCTGTTCTTTGGTGTCCAAGATTATTATATTGCATCTCTTAAGAGCTTGTTTCTTCAGCAGAACTTTCTAATCCAATGACATGGTTTTAGAATGGTCTAGTTTGATCATCACAAATACCCAGCACAGATGCACTGAAACCAGTTCATGCTGATTTAATTCCCTGTCGATAAATTAAATCAGGGATTTACGCCAGCAGGGATTAAACTGATACAAGAAAGAGTTGGTCTGATACTGGTGTGTGTGTGCAATAGATCTGCATTGTTTTAACAGACTGATTTAACAGAACACATTTAAAATCTGCAATTTGTGTCATTTGAACCAGCTCTTAATTATTCTTAAAAACTGTTTAAAATCATAGCTTAAATCAAATAGCTTTGCTATTTAAAACAGCGAGAGAAGCATGCTCTGAATTGCTTAGTGCCTCAAATAGTTTTCAGCTCATCGCATTGACTGCAAGAGCTGTTTTCAACTTGCAGGGGCTTGTGGATGATGTCTCAAATGCCTGCAAAAATTAACCATTACAGCAAAGCCAGTCTTGAATAAGGTGGATGTGTCCCTTTTTTGCCTGGCCCAGTGTTCTCACCGCTTTCCTTATATTACATCAAGGCAGCTAGGGAGTCAGTTCAGCTGGCCGACATGGCAGAGCATTTCTCTCGATGCTTTTGTTTTCCTCTTGGATTTGAGCTGAAGCTATTTGACTTACCTAAGGATCGTAAGATCCAGAACAAAGGAGAGGGGTGGCCAGACCGCCCTTACTGGTAGTTTGCTGCTGGATCACTTCAGCTGTCATGGGAAAAAACCACTAAATTTAAGTTTTACAGCACTTTATTCTCCATAGGGAATATTTTTAGGGGTTCATCTGTAAAAGGAGGGAGGGAAACAGCACATCACTGGCATAGAGCTCAGGTGGATGGTTTCCTTTGGCTTGTGACCGCCAGAGGGCATCTTTGTATAACGTTGTCTCCTCTGCGCCTCGATTTTTTTTTCCCCTTTTATTTCTTTCTTTATGTATGTATTTATTTATTTATTTTGCAGGAACCCAAACATGACTTCAGCAAAAAGGTGGCTTAACTGTTTGCATATCTCCCAACTTGCTCTGTCATTTGACCTTTACTACCCTGCCAGATGTCGGAAGGCAGAGGGCTGGCAGGAGGAGACAGCTGCGTCTTGGGCTTTAAAAGCAGAGAAATCTAGAGAAGGAAGTTATATGCTGTTTCTAGTCCCACAGTAAATCGAGGTGCTGCTTCTATCTTTCAGCGCATGTCTATGTGTCTTGTGTGTCTTTGTACTGCTTTAAGTGGTTTTCTGTAAAAGATACGGCTCTTAAGGATGGGAAACGACCCATTACATGCAAGACAGGTCTCCCAGGAAATTGCACCTATCTTTAGAAGCTGACTACAACCTCTGCCTCAGGAGAACTGAGCTTGAACATCACTTAGATTCAGGGAATCTGTGTCTTGGCAGATGTCTGTCCATCACAGAACAGACAAACTTTCCATTTGGGATGCAAGTGCTGGGAAGAAGTGGCTCTTGCAGCCCCTGTAAGTCAAGGGTAACCAAGCGTCCTTTTGAGCTAGATGGAGCCATGAGGCAGAAGTCAACTGGATCCCAGCAACATGATTGACCTCACAGGCCAACCAAATTGCAGGTAGGAGCAGGGAACGCAGACTCAGCTTAGGTTTAGTGCAGTGCTTTTTAGGGCACTGCATGACCATATAAACGTGAGGAATCATTCTGGATCCTGGGCCCAGCTCAAGACACCTGGATCAGTCCCTTCCCCTAGCAAGTGTTCCTCTTGTCCCCTTCCCTGCCCACCGACAAAATTTCAACCAAATAGGTAATGGTATCACGGGGCCCTGATGCTGGGCGGGATCCCTGGGTGCTGCAAGCACCCACAGACATAGTAGGAGAGCGCCTGCGCTGATGAGAAATGCAGAAGGGATGGAGGAAGGAGAGGGGTGTGGGAATCTCTCCAAGGGCTCTTAGTTCTCAGCCCAGTGACCAGGGCTGTACTGTTGCTTTGCCCAGTTCCCATCCATTTAATTCAGGTTTTCAACCCAATGAAAGGATTGCATGTGTCTGTCCCTGTCTGCTGTCTCTCGTTTCACCTGGGGGATGTCTCCCATGCCTACCAGTCACATGTGACTTGGTCTACAGAAAGGAAAACCAGCTGAAGTTTGAAGGAAAAGGTTACTCTATATTTAAGAGATTTTTCACACTTACACATTGAGATTACTTTTCACATAGTTGCAGTTTATTCTTTCCTAGAGAGGTTTTGTACTTCAAAGTCCTTCTTTACCATTGATCTTAATTGCTGTAGATGCACTTGCAGGGGCTGGAGACACTTCAAGGAACATGTTGCAGACACTTTTTATTACTTTTTAATTTAAAGCAAGCTAAAGGCTAGAAGTCTAACATCACTGCATTATTTTCTTGCATTAAAATCTCCCAGTGGCAGGAAGTTTTCGGAGCCAATGCCCAGAACCACAACCTATTTGTGCTGTGCACTCAGATGCACAGTGTGACACCTCCAGGGTCCCGGGTGAGTGAGCGAATCCCTTTCCCCAGCTCCCCCCTGCCACCCTTGCTGGTCTGAGCTTGTGTTTGCCGATGTTAGTTATTATTTATTGCTTTCAGCTTCCTCCCAGGCATGACCAGTAGTACATCCACCAGCAGCTGGTTGCCCAGGGGCTCAGCTCTGGTGGCAGTGGGCTGGGGGAGGACGTGTGCTGTTGGTTTGGTGTGGAAGTGGATGGCACACGGCGGCACAGCTGCCCTCGGAGCCCGCAGTCCTCGTGGCTCTTGCTGTCTGCCAAACTGGCAGGCGGGACTGGCAGCGTTGTGGCCACAGAGGATGACTCCCAGTCTGTCTTGCTGTCAACCAGGCTGCTCGTCCTTGGTGTCTGGGCTGCAGCTTGTGCTATCCACACTCCCCCGGCTGCTCCGCTCCCCTCTCCCTGCTCTGCTGATTCTGTTTTGGTTAAAGCCTGCTTATCTCTGAGCCAGACAGGGAAAGGTTCCTACCCACAGCCAGCCAGGAGGTTCATGCAGATACCTGAAGTTTCAGCACGCATCTGCAGGGCTGCAGTGTCCCAGGCCCCCCTCCGCCATGCAGTGTGGGTGGAGGGGGCGGACACTGCTTTAAGCTCTTGCCTGCTGCAAAAATGACATTGCAGCTTTGGGTGGTAATTGGCTGCAGTGATGAGCTGTGGTGATCCCGAGCTGGCTGCCGAGTGTGGTGGGAACACAGAGGGGAGAGGAGCGACCCTTCACAAAGCCGGCCCGGAGCTTGTCTCTCTCCACCAGAGCAGTGATGTCCAGGCTGGGGATTCTTCCCCTCCTGATCCCTGCCCTGGGCTTTAAGAAATGCCTCTAACTGTCCCTCGCAGCAGGCAATTGTTACGCTAGGCTGCTGGGCTCTGCCGGCCATTAGTGCTATTTACAGCCCCCGTGATTTCCCTGTGTGCGCAGCATGGCAGGGGCTGCCCGCAGCCGCTTCCCTGAGGTGTCCCTGCCACTTGCATTCCAATGGAGACTGTGCGTGGGCAGGGTTCGTGGGCTTTCATACCTGATGGCTGGTGGCATTTGATGTCCTGCTCCTCACTCGCTGTTCCAGAGCAGAAGGGACAGAGGGGTGACAAGTCTGCATAGGTGCCGGACGCTGAGGATGCTGATGGGAGTGAGCGGCTGGGAAAGCACCAAAAGGGCTCCAGTGAGCCCTGCTTCAGCCTTCCTTCAGTAGCCCCAGTGCTCAGAGCCTCCCATCGCGTCCCTCTTCCTTTCCCCTCACCCTGTGGAGAAGGGAAGGGAGCTGCTAGTGTTTCTTCTCCAGCCGAGAGGAGGGAAGTGCTGTGATGGTCACCAGCCCCAGCACTCCAGGCACATTTATTGAAGATACCAAAGAAGTGGGGTGACGCCTGTTAGAGCAGGGCTGGAGGATGACTCCTAAGCTGCTGCTTGTTTTCTCCACCAAAAGCCCAGCAGGACAGCATCGCCTGTGCTCCCCCATCAACCTTGTAGGCTTATCGGGGGAACAGGGTGTTTCAAGCAGGCCAGACAATCTTCAGAACACTCTCTTTCTGCCTGCTTTCCTTCCCTCGGGATAAGATAAGGTGTTTGGGGAAGATGACCTGCTGGTCCTGCCTCCAGGACAGCGAGCACAGGCGGCTCTGCACCAATGCTCCTGAAGCAGCGGCTCTGCAGGAGCACAGGGGGTCTCCCAAAAGGCCACCTCTCCCACGGACACGCAGCCAGAGCTGAGTAGTGACACCCTGTGATAGTCCTTTGGTGTGTGGCTGTGTTTGCGCTGATCCCAGCTGGGCTAGGAAAGTTGAGGAAGAATGGTTGAGTCCGAACAGAGCAGCAGACCTCCAGGATGGCTGTCTGAGAGGCTTATGGAAAAGCTTTGGGAGAAAAAAACAACTCCTTCATAGAATCTAAAAGGATAGGAGAGCCAGTACCTAAGCAAAGTCTCTGCTCCACGCTGCCCAACTTCATGATCGTCAAAGTCTTCATTCATCAGGTTGGCCTGAAATTGGCCCCCAGGTTGCACGTCACGGAGAGGGACCCCAACAAGCCTGTACAGATAACCTGGTCACAATAATTTCCACAGGAAACAATATGCCAGACACCGAGGCTGTTTTCAGACAAGGAAATGCTCAGTTTGCAGTGCAAACAGGAAAGGTGGCACTCGGAAAAAAAGCTTTCCTGTACCACAGACAGGCTGGTTCTGGAGGACATCCCAGTGACCTGCTGGAAAAGGGACATGCTGGCTCTGCCAGCTGCAGAACAAGCTGCTGGTGAAGTGCAATTCGGTGCATGGCCATCCATGAAGATGTCCTCCCAGCAGCAGGGGTCCACTTCTGGTTTCTTCACGAGGTTCTCAGCCCAGCTCCAGCTGAACTGCGAGAGTCGTGAACTGCCTCTAACAGCGGCACCAGTAAGAACTGGGCACACCCGAAGGGACAGTCTTTAAAAGTTCTTTTGTTTCCCCTGACTCAAAATTATCTTTATCATCCCCCCCCATGGCATTTCCAACAGAAGGCATTTGCTTTTCTCACCCACCTCATTGTGTCTGCATCATTGCCCTTGTAGTGCTGCTGTGCTTCTGGGTGTCATTTTTCACCCAGTGTTACCTTCCCCCGCTTTTTAAACCAAAATCTGATTTCAGTGGAAAAGTCTACAGCCCCCAAAGCCCAGTCCTTTATCCACAAAAGAAAAAAGCTGCCTTGGTTATCCCAGAGCTGCCTTAAGCACCACTGGCTTTTTGGCGCTTTCTAATTACCAGATGACAGGCAGGGGATGATTTTAGCCAAAGGAGCAGTTGTGCTGGGTTGAACCACCCAGTAAATGAGAGAATTTCCAAAATAGCACCGCAGGCTGCAGAAAGCAGACAAGGGATGGGAGATCCCCCTCGGTGCCTGCAAATGGTGATCCCTGATGGCTTGGAGAGGTAAATTGCTGTGAAATTTCAGGGTGGGAATGAAGGGTTCAGTTTGCAACAATCTCAGGAATTTCACAGGCATGTTGTATCTGGGTGTTAAGACTGTTACACGAGGGATTCATTACCAAAAGACAGGGATTTTCTAGTCTTGCTCTGCTTTTGAATGTTTGCTGTAAGAAACAATCTGCCTTAGGCTTCCGCCGTCGCTCGCCTGCTGCTCCCAGCCCAGGCACGGCAGCGGCAGAGCCCGGAGCTGGGTGAGCAGCCCGATAGATGTTTGATTTGCAGGCGGGATCATACACCCGTGCTTTTGGGATAAAGGCTCCCAACTGCAGTGTTGCCCTGACCAGCTGTTTTTCGAGCTAGAGCCACGCAGCTGGACCTGGAGGTCCCCATTGCATGGGGCTGGGTGTCCACGGTCATGAGCATCACCCTAAGTGGTCATACATCTCTGCTGATGGAGGCCAAATGTGGAGAACCAGGCAGATAACGTGGTCCCTTGGAGGGACTCAACCTTCCAAACTGTCTGGAAAAAGCTCAGCTGGCTCTCTGAACTAAATGTGCTGGTCTTAGGTCTTTTCAGTAAGGTCTTTGAAGACCCGATCTTCCCTGTCACGAAGACACAGCCGGGCTGAGGCTGCTGCGTAATGGGTGATGCGCTGAGCTGTCCTGGGGCTTGTTGCACTGATGTCCAGAGCCACCCAAAAGCCCTTGCTGGTTCCCGCTCCCCTGGCGATACACGCAGGTTCCCTGTGTGACCACCGCAGGCAGCTTTCCACCTCGCAGCTTCCAAAACAGCAAAACACAG